CACACTCTGACCACAATGCATCACTGTGGATTCTGGTTGGCACTTCCTGCCTGCCCACAGAACAGACCCACCAGCCTGGCTCCGGTCGAGTACCGTGCATCCATGTGACAGTGATTTCCCGACTAATGTTCTGATTCACATGACAACCCACTCACTGTCTCTTTTGTGCGGAGACGAGCCCGAACACCCAGGCCTAATAGATCTGTGAACCCATCCAACTGGGATCATTTCACGCTCGCACGTCAGGTTGGGAAAAAAAAAAGAAAGAAAGAAAGAAAAGAAAGTGCAGTGGAGTTTGTGTTGGCAACACTCGCTTTACCTCATCCGACACCTTTCTGAGGACGACTTCAAGGTGAGTTCACAGGGGTCACAGAGATAGACGCCGTGATTTCCGAGTAGGAATATTTGCTGCCTGCAGATTTCCTGTGAAATCCTCTCACGTGCCGACACGCCTGCTGTAAAGGCAGGGTGAAGGTAAAACCGGGCACGCACTCCAAACGACTGCAGACGGGCTCTTCTCCGGATCAGAGACAGCACAATAAATATCCTCTTGCTGTAGAAATAAGGCATCAAACGCTCAGACATGAGGCCCGGGCTCTGAAGAAAATCCAGTAACTCAAACCATGTTTTCTTTGTTGCTTTTATGGATTTTGCGTGCTTTACAGCCCCCCCCCCCCACGGGGCGAGAGCCAGTATTTAAGACTGTGACTGCACAAAAGGCTTTATATCAAATTATGATTCTTTCTGCCAATACGTGACACTATAGGTGGAGCATGAGTTTGCAAAGTGACTCTGTGAACGCTGTGAACTTCCCTGACTATTGATCTTCCTTTAATGTTTAACAGAGGTTGAGAAAATATATGTTTTTACAGTGCTTATATACAAGACTTAACATTACTTCTTGTTTCCTCCGTTGCAGCAGGACGGTGCGAATGAAGCAAGATTTCTGTGTCAGGAGATCAAACCTCAGCTTTGTGTGCAGAGAACGAGGAAGCTCTTAATTCACTTTTCCATAACGGTGCCGAACTGTGCAGGCTTTGTCATCCACAACATCCCTGTTGGCTATTTTCCCTTTTTCATTAGAGACAAGACATTAAAATTTTCTTTGGATGAAAATCTGCTGTTGGAAGCGTGATTTTAGCATTTGGTCGAGATCTAAAACTTATGTGAGTCTGAACGTCAACCTCAGCAACATTCCAGCAATATTTTATTATAATAAACTAATATGAAGCTATTAAGACTGTTAAGGATTCGCACTCTGACTCCCCAGGACGCATGAAGACATAAATCACATAACCAAAGCAAATTTTATTTTAGTTTTACCAATACCATGTGACCCTGGAGATCAATGTGACTGAACCTCTTCAACCCGCACGACCTTTGTTGCCAGTCATCACATGGTTAATCCTCCCGCAGAGCTTGAACTGAAAGTCTAACGTCTCCAGGATTTTCACACGTCAAGCTGAGACATCTACTTGTCATTTAAATAAACGTTGCAGTCGTGAATCAAATCTAATATTTGGATCATTAGGCGCACGTTAAGATTCAAGCAGGTTACGACCTGACGCACGGTTAACGCTGCAGGAATGGATCTCATGCAAAAAAAAAAACACAAAGTGAGTAACTTGTGAAAAGATTAGCAGTCAGGCATGAGACGTATGAGTCACAGGGTCCACTTGATATGCAGCACTGACAAACAGGACATTCATCACTGATGCGAGCTGCTGATATCTTCTGTTGACAATGAGAGAACGTCACTATTAACTGTCAGTTTCAGGGAATTTAAATTTTTTGTACAGGGCTCCAGTCAGGCAACATGAATCCCCTGTGGGAGCTGATGTTCACAGGTCTGTCAGGAAATATTAACCAGGGCAATGTTAAATGAACTGAACATTGTTTTAATGTGGCTTTTAAGTTAAGAAGATCCACCTTAAATAAACTAAAATCATTTGCATGCCCTGCAGTGGATGAGCTTACATGACACAGCTTAATAGCTGTAATTTCACGTTTTCCTGCTGTGTAATGTAATCCCATCGTTACACTGTTAAAACAAATCATCAACCTGAGCCTTGAATGGCAGATTTAAACCTTCATTGCACACACTTCATAATCAGACTTGCCATAACTAATTCATTCAGCTGTGAGAGTGTAAATTCTGACACATCAACACCCTGCTTTGCCACAACGCCTCTTTCCTGCATGCGTCCCAGTGCATGTGACATAATAAATCTAATGATTGTTTCTTTCCCTTGCAGCCTGCGACCGATACCTGCACACTTCAAAACCTCAGACAGATATTTCTGAGACAGCAGTTAAAAAACAATGATCTAGTTCACTCGGGGGATCGTGGTGTTGGGAGGCTCTCGGCGTGTCAGAGGCCACAGCGACTCGGCAGAAGCAAACTGAACCACCATTATGCAAGCAGCAGGCGATCTGTGGATTTACAGCTCGGCTCCTCTGGCCGGACCATGTGTGCACCTAAATCATCCCATGGGTTCCAAAACAAGTCTCACTTCACCTGCCCACTGTCTCCTTCCATTTCGGGATGTGAAAATGTGTAACCTGGGTAAAAACGGCTGAGCCAATCAACAAGCAGTGAGCTGTGTAAATCATTGCATTGATCTGACCCCCTGAGGAGGAGCAGAGCAGCGGAGGAGGAGATGTCATGAATGTCACTATATCTTGGAGTACTGCAACTAAATCAGCTGTAAATAATGCTCATTATGTGGGTCTCTTGTTCAGGAGGGACGGGGGGGGGGGCACCACATGTGGTGTTTCTCTTAAAACATCACACAGACCCCGGGCAAATGGTTTCTCCAACACCGCGCACACAGGCATCAGAAAACTAGTGCTCCCTACTGGTGCCAAATGTTCTGTGGAGGTGTGAAAGTCTAGACATGCTCTCCCACTTTCTCTCTCTCTCTCTCTCTCTCTCTCTCACACACACACACACACACACACACACAGTCATACATACACCTCGTGTGCTTGTCTACAGACTCTGGTGAACAATCACCTCCATTAGAGTCGACATTTATTTTCCTGGTTTTAGCCCTTTACAAACACCAAACATAACACAATCATCATGTCTTGACAAATGCACAATTCTAAGCCTCACTGGAAACATGAGAGGGCTAAATAAGCAGCAGTGCATCCCTGAGGAAAACTATTAATTTTTTTTTCTTCCCATTTTTAGGACAAATTCCAGGCACATGCCATAAAATAACTGGGACAAATCCTCCACATTACGTCCTACATGTGACTACGTGACAGTGGGAAACACAGGGAGCTGTGGCGAGGACAGTAAATAAAAGATGAAAGGTGTGTGATAATGCAACCAGGCACACAGCCCAACTTAACTGTATAACTTAATTAAAAAGCATAAAAGAAACTCTGATTGGGATGTGATTAACAGCAGGGGGGGTGGGATACAGAAATGCCCATCCTTCCTCTGGGAAAACTTCAAAGACTTATTCCCATGCAGAGACTCATATACACACCCTTCCTTTATCAATATTAAAACATTACATATCCTTTTATTTGTATTCAATTATTTATTTATATATTTAATTTGATATGATCATTTAAAAGGAGCTACGTTTCCAAGCAGGGCGAGACAAACTGGCCCAAACCCTGATATGCTGCAGGGTTCACTTCAACAGCCCGGGGGATGTAATGCAGGTTTAACCTGCCTAAATTTAGTTTGCACACCATCTTATGTGCGCGCGCCCGCACACACACACACACACACACACACGCACACACACACACACACATTAAATCAATGTAAACCAGTTTACACATCGCAGACTTCTGCTGCTGTTTAACACGAGTTTTTTTTTTTTTTTAAATAAGAAAAGAAAATGTTTTCAATTAAAAAGACTTTTAAAAATGTGTTCCTGTTCAGAAGTGGTCGGCTGCCCCAAGGTGATCACCTGCTGGCACAGATGGCGCATCAAACCCTCCACACCACTCTGGTGAAGTGTGATTGCTGCTGCTGGAATGCAGAAATGTGAGTAATTTCTAGGAATGCACTCTGGACGCTAAAGTCATGGAAAGGGAAGGTGGGAAAAGAAACCTTTCAGTCGTCAGTTTGTACAGTTTTGGGTCAGCCGTGTCACAGGCCACAGATTACGGTGTCAGGACTTGCAGACACTGAGCCTAAGCCACACACAGATGCCGCTCTCTATGCAAAGCATGCTGAATAACCTGAGGGGAGAGGGGGCTGCCCAAGCTGGCGGGCAGACAGATGAAAAGGTAGATAACTTCTCTGGATGGATAATCATCAGTTACAGGACACAATCTGACAAAGAACCGCGAGATAAAGAGAAGTTAGCTCAAATGAGAAAGGACTGACTGACCTCTCACCATACCTGATTTACAGCATCTTAATTTACATGCTAATGGTTTGTGTCAGATTGGAAAAGGTGAATCAATTATGGTTTAATGATCAATTAGTATAAAAAGGATCAGTTTCACGCAACTACATGTGCTTTTACTCTGATTAGAAGTCGAAGGACAACTGCTCCTGCTCCTCGGCTTCACGGACGTGTGCGTAAAGCTCGTTCTGTCATCTCAGTTCAAATGCAGCAAATAGAATAAAAAAATGAAAGACGTGATAGTTACGCAAGCAAACGGAAGCACTCTGAAGTGCTCAGACTTACGCCGTTAATACAGGTCTACGCGTATTGATCGGGGGGAGTCATTGGGAGGCTGTTCTTCCAACGAAATAAGAAAGACGTGGATGCGGGACAAGCTGCAGAAACTCTGGACAGGTGGAGCATTTCTGAGCTGGAAGTGTATCCAGCTGATCATTACAGTGTGTCTCTAGAAAAGTGCATTCAAGATACAAGATCCGAAAAACGTGGCAAATGTACAACGAGGCTTTCTGGTTATGTCTGAATCACTCGATGCCCTGCATCACGCCACAACGCAAACCGTCTATTTCCTCAAGTAAAAAAAGAAACCAAAAAGAAAAAGAAAAAAGACAAGTCACTTACTTTTGACTTCTTCATATGGAACGACAGGAGTAAATCCAGTGTGTGCGAAAGCCTATTTTATTTTACTTCTACGGGGAGGAAAGGGGTTGTCATCATCTTGTGTGCACATATCCAATGCTTAAGTCAGTAGTATCCAAGCAGAGGAGGAAAAAAAAGCCCCAAAAGAAGAAGAAACACGGCAAAAAACTGGAGATCAAACTTTGAACCGTGGCAGCCTGTAGGCTAACGACGTGTGGCATCTAGCCCATCTATCTACAACATAGATCCAGGCTCGCAGCAGCGGAGAGGGACAGCGCGCAGAGGGAGGGAGTTAAGCCTTTATAATGATGCGTAAAAAGCAGTGAAAGAGCCGCCCTCTGACGAGGCGCAGTATGAAGAGCCCCACTCCGAAACCACTACGGCCAGTATAAACACACCGCACATGAAAACAGGTACAGAGCGTCGCTCAGCTCAGTTGCGCAACAGTGAGTTTATTGCCTGTTAAGTGGTGGTTTTACAGGCGTTAACCCATTAATACCCACAGTTATAAGTTTAATTACCATTATCTGATAGGACGTCTATGACATGAATGAGATAAACTAATAATAACAGTAATAATCTGAATTAATTACTACTTAAATTAAGTCACTTTTCCATGGTATAATAGGGAAAATATGAAGACAGATACATTTATTTTTGATTTTTAATGTTTTTTTTTTTTAAATTTACACACACACACACACACACACACACACAATGCATCCTAGTTATTGCAGTGCTCTCATCTTTTTTGCAAGATTACAAAGGAACCATGTATTTTCACAATAAAGTGTGAAAAAAACTCAGAAATGAAAGCATCTAAAGTTAGAGTGAGTTATGGGACATGACTGGCATCATTCAGACTGTAGAGAGCGTGACTCTTTGAGCACAGCCTGATGGATGCAGGCGTTTCAACCATGAAAGTTCAGCTCAAAGTTTGTTTCTTAAAGTGTTATTTGATATACTTATCTCGTAGTTCTTTGCTGATTATTCAGCCGAGACGTCAATCTTTGTTTTTTCTTAGCTTATGAATTAAGACTCTGAGATGCATGAATTGGACTTCTCGGATTATTGTCTTTGTTTTATAAGAAAACTTTGTCTCTACTTGACTTTTCTATGTCATTTACATTGTGGTACAGCTGCTTAATACTGATTTTACAGTGACCTAATGGAATTTAATGGCATTTCCTGTTGCCGTCCTCTGTGGTTATTTGTGGGATATTTTTAACTCATAGTCACTGTGAACAATTTTGGAGCAGTGATGTTATATCCAGGCCTCCTGCTCTACCACTTTAACATCAAGACAAAGTAGAAACAGTGTGCATGCTTTTAAATTATAGGCTGAAACAATATGACATCAATCTCTTTAAGTCAAATCACTGAGAAAAAAATGTAAATTTCTGTGTTCAGCATTACAAAGTGTATCATCAGTTTTTTGTTTGTTTGTTCTTTTAACAGCTTGTTAAAATTAAAAGCAACTTTCAGCTTCATCAGTCCTGAATCATGATCAAAACCTCTCCCTGGGGCCGCGTGGCACAGAGCGAAATGAAACAATGCGATCCTCAGGCTCGGCTGCTGCCTCTCAGTGTGGGTGCTTCTGGAGGGAGACATGGAAGTTTGCTTGAGTATTTGCCCAGAAGCAAAGAACTAAACACTCTCTGAAACATGCCAGAACAATGATATGGTGATCATATCACTGAGATCAATGGCCTGCCTAAAGTTTTGTTTTAAACTGCTGAGCACATGATCACACTGATCACACTGTCAGCATGTTGACAGATGACATTTACTGATGGAGGAGAGTGCATTAAAATTTTACAATCCAGGCTGTTAAAAGTGAAAAGTTTGGAGGCACTTGAATAGATTCAAAGTAAACATCATGTGCTAATGGGCTTATTCTGCCAATAAAATGTGTACAGACTGCTTTAAAAGGTTTGGAGACAGGACCGCAGCAAGGCAGTCTGGGAGGGAAATTAATGTGACGGATGTCAAAGGTTCCATGTATAATTGGTGTAAACATTTCGCCTCAGTCTTCGCTCCTTTTTTTTTTTTCTTCCGAAAACTACTCAGACTCTCGTCATCATACAGATGTTGGTTTTATCTATACCGTCTACTAAAAGTTACATTTTTCTGCGACAGCGATTTATGATGTATGGCAACTTGTAGTTCTCACGCCGAGAGAAGTTGACAGTCTAACAAAGCAGTGAAAATTGTAGGCAGGATGTCGGAGGTGGATGGAAGGAAAATGTGCTCCAGGAGACCTTTTTTTTTTTTTTGATCTGCCAACTTTTCCACCTCTGTTACTCATCAAAACCTTCAGTTTTTTTCTGTATTTTTTTATTTTTTATTTTTTGCTAATTCCACTTGTTTTTCTCTACACAAAATAGAAAATGCTTATGATAACAGATGTAGCTAAATGTAGCTAATGTTTCTCTCTTATACGCCACAAAATCCCTTTTATTTATCCGTTAGTTGTCTAAGTCAAGTTCTTCGTACAGTACACACCATCCATCTGAGACTGTCCCCAATAGAAAAGCTAAGGTAGTAATTGTTTGTTGCCTCAAATTTAATTTTTCTGACAAGTGACTTCTTGTGACTGTTGTCTCTCATAATCAAAAGGAAAAGTAGGTGGCTGGGTGGGTAAAAAACCCCCCCGAAAAAACAGTGACATGAAGGACTTGTCGATCTGTCCACCCCAATGACCCCGGTTAAACCTTTCTGACAGTGATATACAAAAGACTGGAGCCACACTTTTACACAGGCCCTATAGCACTATTATTTTACCATTAATAAAAATAATAGGCCAATATAAGCCCACTAATATAAGCCAGTGCAGTCCAACTGTAGACATAAAATTATTCAGATCATATCTGTTGCTACATACGATATTCAAATAAAGGTTAAATGATAAATCTGAGTCAAATAAAATCTGATCAGTTTTGTAAATAGCCAAATAAACACAAGCAAAAAGTGTTTTGTTTTTTTTTCTTTAATGACTTGGGTGTCTCTGATGTTTTTCTTTTGAGGATTTATATTTACACAAGCATTTGGCAGGGGAGCACCCTGTGCCTTGAGGGAGGAACAATCTGGTTTTGTGGTCAGTGGCTCTTGTGAATCTGTGACATGTAAAGAGCTTCAAGCATAGTTGTGTCACAACCTGCTTGTCAGGGGCTCTTCAGAGAAGAATGGTGTGTGTGGGTGTGTGTGTGTGTCTGTGGTGACTGAGTGCAGACGATCTGCACGTATTTCATGCTGAACTTTCAAAAGCTTTTGTGGCGTGGGTGCAGAATTTGCACAACACCTTGGACTCTTTACAGAGAAATAATAGGATTAACAATCAGAGACATAGTTGTTTACTGAATGACCACCACCTAAATTGAGAAACAAAGACCATGCGCCTCTCACGTAGAGCAGCAGTCTGAGAGCCATAATTACATAATGTGCTTATTTTGCAAATCTGTCTGTAAAATACTACGCCTCTGCAGATATTTATCAATGAATGTAATCAAGACTAGCAAGAAACTGGATTTCCGGTACTTACAATATGAGCCCCACGAGGAATGTCTGAGAATCTGGTGACTATATCTACATCAAAGCTGCATTAATTGATTTTTGGCCATTAGGTGCCAGAAAAAAACTAAACGAGCAACTACAGACACGTAGCCCTCACACATTATCATCTGAAAGTAGTTTACTTGAACAACTTGCACAACTTTTGAGAAAAATATGTGGCTTTTTAGCTGCTTGTTGTTCCACTTTCTTTGTAAGTTGCTGACATTGTCTGTGTGACAGGTAGCGTATGTGTATATCTGATAAGAGTACTGAGATTGAACCACACCATAAATGGGCTATGAAATCAAAAGAGACTACTAAAAAAGCTTTATATATATATATATATATATATGCAGCATTGGTGATATTCTGGGTAGGTTTGTCACTAGATGTTTTGTGGCAAAGAGAGGGAGATGGCTTGCAACCAAGGTCCCAAGCCAGATTTAAAAAAGAGGCTTTGTGGCTATGATATATGCATTTCAGACCACCAGGCCACAGTGAGGGAACAATCTAATGTCAACATAAAAAAGGCCACAGTAACATAACCATTTTACGTAAACATAAAATATACATTTACATTTAGCTATACATTGGCAGACGCTTTCGTGACAGACATCAGTAGAGCTTCAGCGCAGCAATAAGTACATGGAGATCAGGTAAATGAGTGCACCGCGAGTGCATAGTTGGATGTCGTCTGTATAGCGGTGATACGAGAAGCTGGGGTGTAGTAAGTAAAATTTGTTGACATATAATTCATTAATGTCCATTCTGAAATAAGTCATTCTGCAGAGCTCTTCTACCATTCGAGTTCCCTTCGATTTTGACTGAGAGTTATTTCTGGTAAAAACATTACACATTAGAGCTACTCTGAAGACTAAGACTTTGAATACTACCCTCCATTACGACACGCTCCATTGCATTTCACCCCCACTACCTCCATCAGTCTGGGCAACTGCAATCGAATGCACAATTTATCAGTGTCGACAGTTGTGACTAATATATGAGCCCTGAGGTTTGCACATTCCTTCAGATTAAATTCTTGAAAACACAACTTCAAATGTCGATTAATAGCAAGCATCAGTGCACAGGTTTTGAAATGCTCACTATACTGTAATGCAAAACTGTACAGAATCGAGTACTGATCTGACCACATCTTAAGCAATCCAGCCATGTAGTCCTCTTTTTCCTGCCTGCTCTGTTATAACCATCACAAGAACAATTCTGTCATAACAGAGCAGGCAGGAAAAAGAGGATTAAAAGGCTGGATTGCTAAAGATGTGGTCAGACCAGATTTTGCTCCCGATTAATTTCTTTTAGAACCAGGGCCAAATATATTATTCTCCTGTTGTAAACTGACTGGGCCTCCTTCATTTGCATTGCAACTATGCATTGTTCTGACGAATTTTGTGAAAATGCATGTCCATCAAGTTTGAGAGAAACATTATTCATGTATCTACAGTGACAGAGGTTAATGACAACACGGTGAGTTAAGAAGCTGTATAATTTACAACTCACTGACTACAACAGTTAATGCTAACAACCCTTATTATGCTGTTTGGCCTGCTTGCCATCACAACACATTTTGCCAGGTGAAATCGGGTCTGACTGCACCTTAAGGCTGCGGTGATTTAACAGCATTTGGAAGAGAACAATAGCTAAAAGGTAAAGCTGATTCTGGCATTGGGAGCAGATGTGCAGGTGGGTGTGGGTGCAGTTCA